GACGGCAACTAAATGGTGTTTGTAGCATTTTTATCATACAGTAGATTCCATCCATTCACTATACTTTTCTGAGTTGTCCTACATACAACTACGTGTTTTTAATGTTGTCTGTCTTCTGTGCTGTTCCTGTAAGTTTGCTATTAAAATACATTAAACTATATAAAAAAAGACTCCATCTCAAAATAATAATAATAATAAATAAATAAGATAAAATTAAATTAAAGGCCGGGCGCGGTGGCTCAAGCCTGTAATCCCAGCACTTTGGGAGGCCGAGGCGGGCGGATCACAAGGTCAGGAGATCCAGACCACAGTGAAACCCCGTCTCTACTAAAAATACAAAAAATTAGCCGGGCGCAGTGGCGGGCGCCTGTAGTCCCAGCTACTCAGGAGGCTGAGGCAGGAGAATGGCGGGAACCCGGGAGGCGGAGCTTGCAGTGAGCCGAGATCGCGCCACTGCACTCCAGCCTGGGCAACAGCGTGAGACTCCGTCTCAAAAAAAAAAAAAAAAAAAAAAAAAAAAAAAAAAAATTAAAAAATAAAGTACGTGGGACTACAGGAATGCACCACCATGCCTGGCTATTTTTTTTTTTTTTTTTGGAGATGGGCTCTCACTATGTTGCCCAGGCTTCGATCTTGAACAAAATTTTTGTAGAGACAGGAGTCACGCTATGTTGCCCAGACTGGTATCAAACTCCTGGTCTCAAGCAATCCTCACACCTTGGCTTCCCAAAGTACTGGGAGTACAGGCACGAGCCATTGTACCCAGCCATGATCTAGGGGTATCTAGGGGACTGTTCCTCAGTTTCTAAGTAGTAAAGATATTTTGACCATCTTCTATTATTTATTTTAAATTTTAGTGGATTATAATGAGAAGGTGTAGCCTCTACAAATCGCTGCTTCTTTAAATTCATGACGTTTTCCTCTGTGATGAAGCACACAGTCGATGGACATTAGAACATAATTTACATTAAAAAAATTTTTTCCAAGTTCCCAAGAGCTGGAAAACAAAATAGTTTACATTTTAAAATGTGTGTGGAAATATACATATATATGATTATATGTTGAACTTGTTTGTCACATTATTCAATCATCTATTCTCTAGCTTATTTTTCATCTACTTGATCATTCAAGTTCTGAAGGAGATATATTATAATCTTCCATTATGGTGGTGGTTTTCTATCAAAATATTCTTGGGTTTCTGAGAGTTTGCTGTAAATATTAAGCTGCTATAATAATTTAGTACATAAAAGTTTGTGATTCATCACTTCAACAAGGATTGAACCATTTATGCCCCCTTTTTGTCTTGTTTAATGCATTTGATCTTGAATTCCACTTTTTTCTAATAAAGCTTGATGGCTTAAGCAACACATTTATAACCTCACAGTTTCTGTAGGTCAGGACTCTAGGCCTGACCTAACTGGGTCTTCTGCTTCAGGTTCTCTTATAAGATTGCTATCAAGGTGTCCATTTAGGGTCTTTCACAGGCTGCAATCAAGGTGTCAGCTGGGGCTGCAGTCTTATCTCCAGGCTCACTGTGACAGGATGCACTTCCAAAATAACTCAAATGGTTGCTGGAAGGATGCAGCTTCTTGCTGGCTGTTGGACTAAAGGCCTCAGTTCCTTGCCAGGGGGCCCTCTGCATCAGCGTAATCACTCAGGAAGAGCCCGAAACAGAATATGAGCAAGATACAGGATTTTTAATTAACAGTTCTTTTCTCCCAATTTTCTGCAGATGGTGTTCCACTGTTTTGTACCTTTCTGTGTTGTAGATTTTTAAAATACAAAAAAAACTAGCCAGGCATGGTGGTGCACACCTGTAGTCCTGGCTACTTGGGAGGCTGAGGCAGGAGGATCACCTGAGCCTGGACATGTTGAGGCTGCAGTGACCTGTGATCGCGCCACAGCACTCCAGCCTGGGTGACAGAGTGAAACCCTGGGAAAAAAAAAAAAAAGAAAGAAAGAAGAGAAAACAAAAGACAAGACAAGACTTGGTGCAGTGGCTCACACCTGTAATCCGAGCACTTTGGGAGGCCGAGGTAGGCAGATCACGAGGTCAGGAGATCGAGACCATCCTGGTTAACATGGTGAAACCCTGTCTCTACTAAAAATACAAAAAAGTAGTCAGGTGTGGTGGCAGGTACCTGTAGTCACAGCTACTCGAGAGGCTGAGGCAGGAGAATGGCGTGAACGGTGGGGGGCAGAGTTTGCAGTGAGCTGAGATCGCGCCACTGCACTCCAGCCTGGGAGCGAGACTCTGTCAAAAAAATAAAAAATAAAAGAAGAAAGAAAGGAAGGAGGGAGGGAAGGAGGGAGGGAGGGAGGGAGGGAGGGAGGGAGGGAGGGAAGGAAGGAAGGAAGGAAGGAAGGAAGGAAGGAAGGAAGGAAGGAAGGAAAGGAAAGGAAAGGAAAGGAAAGGAAAGAAGGGAGGGGAAGAAAGTGGTGTTACCAGAGCCCAAGAATCAGGGTTATCCAGTGCAAGCCTGTCTGGCAGGATCTGGGGTTACAGAGGAGCTGCAACCAGTACCAGACATATTACCCAACACAGAGAGGAAGGTCTACGGAAATATCCAAGCTTCTACTTGTTCCCAGTCTTCAGCCTTTTACCAGTGCCTCCCAGTGGCCAAAGCCAGCTGGAAGCCAGAATGTGTTCTTTCTGTTTGGAAACTTAACAAGGGTTTCTCTTTATACTTGGAATTCAAGGATTTCACAAGGATAAATTTTGATGTGTGTCTTTTTTGATTATCATTCATATGACTCAGTGAACACTTTTAATCTGCAAACCCAAATCTTTCTTCATCTCAGGGAAATTTTCTTCTATTATTTATCTAGTTAGGTTTTCGCTTCCTTATATTCACTTTGTCCTTCTGGACTCCTATCATTTTCACAACAGATCTCCTGAGTTTCTTAATCCTCAATGATTTCTATTTCTTTACATTTTTGTTCTCTGTTGAAAGCTATTTATTCCGCTTGATCTTACAGATTACTAATTTGGTTCTCAGTTAAGGATCATCCTCTTTTCCAGTTTGTGCACTAATTTTTTTAAATTCTGAAATCATGTTTTCCAGTTCTAGAATGTCTTTTTATTGTCCTCTAACTGCACAACCTTGAGAGCTTTCATTACTTGTTACACTTTATCATTTGACACACATGTATATAAAATACGCCAAGCACTGTTCTAAACATTTTACAAATATTAACTTGTTTAATCATTTACTAATTCTCTCTGACTCTTCCTGTGATTCTGCATCAATAGAAGCCATCTGTCTAGTTGTGTGAGTTAGTCTTCCTCCCTCTGGTTAACAAATGTCCTCAAAGGGGTCATTTCTCCTTACCTGCTCATGGTTTTGACTTATTAGCAGTTAGGTCAGATTAGGGTCTCCTGAACAGTGGTAAACCAGTGAATGGTGGAAGACTAAGTAGTTTTTGCTGTTGTATATGAGAAGTAAACTAGATGAAGAGATATAATGCCTTTGCTGAGACATAGGAAGGAAGCCTCTTTGCCCCAAGCCTCCCTGAGCATACGTGGCAATCTCTTCCAATCATAGGAGCTGAAAGTAATTCAGGCCAGCAAAATAATTTTCCTCAAGTTCCATCATGGTCATGTGAATCGGTCAGTTCCCTTAGGTCTTCAGGAAGGCAGGTGAGCAGGTTGAACCTTCATAGAACAGGCTTCATACAGCAGAATCAGTCTTTGTTCCAGATTTCTTTCTTTCTTTTTTTTTTTTTTTAATTCATTGAGGGCTTTCCGGTGTTTACTGGAAAGCCTGCTAGACAAATTCTAAAAGAGCTGTAACACACGCCCCCCCCCCAAGGTTTTAAGAGAGATACCCTGCCCTTACCACTACTCCTTGACTCTCTCCTGGCACTAAGCAGATCAGTCTCAGCCAATTCAGCAGGGGAACTCCAGAGCCAAAATTGTCTATTTGAAGTGTCTCACTGGCCAGGCGTGGTGGCTCACGCCTGTAATCCCAGCACTTTGGGAAGCTGAGTTGGGTGGATCACTTGAGGTCAGGAGTTTGAGACCAGCCTGGACAACATGGCAAAACCCCATCTCCATCAAAAAATACAAAAATTAGCCAGGTGTGGTGGTGCATGCCTGTAGTTTCAGCTACTCAGGAGGCTGAGATGGGAGGATCACTTGAACCTAGGAGGTAGAGGCTGCAGTGGGCCGAGATCGCGCCACTGAACTCCAGCCTGGGTGATAGAGTGAGACCCTGTCACAAAACATAAATTAATTAATTTAATTTAATTTAGAATAAATTTAAAAAATAAAATGAAGTGTCCCACATTGGGCAGAAATGGTCAGATGCTAACATCACTGCCTTATGCAGTCATAGGCTGGATGCTACTCAAATCTACTCTCCATCCCCACTAGAAAATACTAAAAGAAATATAGCCTTAAATACAGATTTTAGGCTCCATCATGCTACCTATCCTGACTGTTGAGTTACTCTCCAGCAGGATTCAGGAGGAAGAGTGTATCAGGAACATTTATTCAAGCTTTTATCATCCCAGAACTTGAGGATACTATTTCCTTGTTTAACCTTCCATACTATAGAAACATTGCAGCCAAGCTAATTTCAAAGAGAAGAATGAAAGAAAGTAGGAATAGCATTGCTATTGGTTTTCCAAGACCTAAAAATTATGTTGTATTTCTCTTTAGTTTGATCTTGAGATCTTTCTCTGCAGAGGAAGTATAAACTCTAGCCCTGCCCTGATCAGGTTCCAGGGGATTCTTTGCGGATATTTACACTGTGCCTTTCACAGGATACTTCTTTATCCTATCAGATGGACTAATACCTAGGTATCTGACCCATGGTCAGGTGTCCCTCTCATAGGAAACTTGTTTATACTGTCAACTGCCCTTGAGGTTCTTGCCTGACTTGTGTTCAGTTTATTCCTGCCAAGATAGCCACTCTTTAGGAGAGCTTTCACTGGGAGTAAAATTAGGTCTGTGTGTGTCAGTCAGGTGAGGTACAGAGAAGACAACACAACAAAAACACATGAAAAACAAAAGGAGTTTATTACTCATAGATCCCAGAGAGAAGAAGGGTGCCAACAAGCAGATTGTCAAACCAGTGAGAGGGGAGTGAGAAACAGAGAAGACCTATGCAATGAGTCATTCACTGGGGCCCAGGATACTATCAAATCAGAGTTCCCTTCCAATTGTGGGGTTAGAGAAAGCAGGCATGAGTTTGATGGGGTTGCATTGTTACAGAGTGGTCACTGCAGCATATCTGCACAGTCCCTGTTGAGGGTAGAATAAACAGAGTGAGTCAAATGTGCTGTCACACCCGGCTAATTTTTGTATTTTTGGTAGAGACGGGGTTTTGCCATTTTGACCAGTCTGGTCTCGAACTCCTGGCCTCAAGTGATCCACCTGCCTCAGCCTCCCAAAGTGCTGGGATTACAGACATGAGCCATCACGCCTGGCCCAACATCTTAATGACTAAACTGAAATACTTGAAGCAGGGGTGGCAAACTCAAAGACTAGGGTCAAGCAGGTAAGTATGTGAAGGAAGGGACCAAGTATAACTGCATAAGTATTCACTGTATGAGTGGTGAGGATGGCAGCAAATTCCAGAAGGCAAGCTACTCGCTCCAGCGTACATTGCAGTCAAAAATGCAGTCCAAACCAGAGCTACATTTTTAACCACAATGCAATACAACCAACATTTAGAGCTGAACCTGTACCCATGCCACCACTCACCATACAGTAAAAAGGCTGCAATAAGATGAAGAATTATGGCCGGGCTTAATACCAGCAATTTGGGAGGCCAAGGCAGGCAGATCACTTGAGGTCAGGAGTTTGAGACTAGCCTGGCCAACATGGTAAAACCCTGTCTCTACTAAAAACACAAAAATTAGCCGGGGGTGGTGGCTGTAATCCCAGTTACTTGGGAAGCTGAGGCAGAAGGATCACTTGAACCTGGGAGGTGGGGGTTGCGGTGAGCCAAGACCATCCCATTGCACTCCATCCTGGGCAACAAGAGTGAAACTCCATCTAAAAAAACAAAAAAAAATGAGGAATTACATCACCACTCTTTTGATTACTCAAGAAAACCATAAGGTAGTACTACTGAGATCCCTACTCATAGCACCAGAATAAAACCCATACCAACTTTCACCACATCAAGTAAAAGCACCTTTTAAAATCAAGGCCGTCGTACCATCACTTAATTTACTAGGAGCCAATCTCTGATACAACCATGACATATATTCATATCAACATTTAGCACTCCATGAGAAAGCATTAGCGAAAAAGAAGGTTTTTATCCCTACAATACCAAGAGAAAGTTGTGGCCACTCAATTTTCCTCGTAGACCTAAAAGTGTTCAAAAAAAATAGTTTATTAATTTTCTTAATGGTTTTGTCATTTGTACTACATGGATTACTATAAATTATTTAACCAGGCCGGGCGCGGTGGCTCAAGCCTGTAATCCCAGCACTTTGGGAGGCCGAGGTGGGTGGATCACGAGGTCAGGAGATCGAGACTATCCTGGCTAACATGGTGAAACCCCGTCTCTACTAAAAATACAAAAAACTAGCCGGGCGTGGTGGCGGGCGCCTGTAGTCCCAGCTACTTGAGAGGCTGAGGCGGGAGAATGGCGTGAACCCGGGAGGCGGAGTTTGCAGTGAGCCGAGATCATGCCACTGCACTCCAGCCTGGGAGACACAGCGAGACTCCGTCTCAAAAAAAAAAAAAAAAAAAAAAAATTATTTAACCAGTGCCCTATATTTAGGGCTTCTTCCTTCAAGTATTCATCGTTACAAATAATTCTACAATGATCATTACTATGTATCCGTTTTTAAGTATTTCTACAAGATATATTCACCAAAGTGTAGTTGCTAGATCAAAAGGTCTATACCGACCCTGCGTAGTCGCTCACGCCTGTAATCCCAGCACTTTGGGAAGCCGGGGAGGGCGGATCACAAGGTCAGGAGTTCAAGACTAGCCTGGCTAGCATGGTGAAACCCGGTCTCTACTGAAAACACAAAAAATTAGCCGAGAATGGTGGCATGCGCCTGTAGTCCCAACTACTTGGGGGGCTGAGGCAGGAGAATTGGTTGAACCCAGGAGGCGGAGGTTGTAGTGAGCCAAGATTGCGCCACTGCACTCCACCATGGATGACAGAGCCAGACTCCGTCTCAAAAAAAAAAAAAAAAGGTCTATACCTTTAAAATGTTTATAGATATTGATAAAATGGCATCAAAATATTAACCCAATGTATAATCCTACAGACAGTGTTAAAAGAATGGCTATTTATCAATATTCAAGCCAACCCTGGAAACTGTCAATATTTCAAATCTTTACTAATCTGACAGATCAAATGAAATATTTTGATTAGAGGGGCCAGGCGCGGTGGCTCAAGCCTGTAATCCCAGCACTTTGGGTGGCCGAGACGGGCGAATCACGAGGTCGGGAGATCGAGACCATCCTGGCTAACACAGTGAAACCCCGTCTCTACTAAAAAATACAAAAAACTAGCCGGGCGATGTGGTGGGCGCCTGTAGTCCCAGCTACTCGGGAGGCTGAGGCAGGAGAATGGCGTAAACCCGGGAGGCAGAGCTTGCAGTGAGCTGAGATCCGGCCACTGCACTCCAGACTGGGCGACAGAGCGAGACTCCGTCTCAAAAAAAAAAAAAAAAAGAAATATTTTGATTAGCATTTATTTGGTTATTAATGAGGTTCAGTGTCTTTCATACATTAGCCATCTGTATATGTATATTCTCATAACCTTTGTCTATTTTTCTAATGCGTCATTGGTCATTGATTTGTAGGAAATTTTTTTGTATTAAGTAAATAAGATTTTCTCTCTCATATGTAGTGCAAATTTTTTTTTTTTTTGAGATGGAGTCTTGCTCTGTTGCCCAGGCTGGAGTGCAGTGGCCTGATCTCTGCTTACTGCAAACTCCACCTCCCGAGTTCACGCCATTCTCCTGCCTCAGCCTCCCGAGTAGCTGGGACTATAGGCGCCCGCCACCACGCCCAGCTGCTTTTTTGTATTTTTAGTAGAGATGGGGTTTCACCGTGTTGGCCAGGATGGTCTCGATCTCCTGAACTCGTGATCTGCCCACCTCGGCCTCCCAAAGTGCTGGGATTACAGGCGTGAGCCACCGCGCCTGGCCTGTAGTGCAAGTATTTATTCACAATTTGTTTTTTAAAATATTTATTTGTGCTGCCTTATGCTGTGCAAGATTTTTTTTTTTTTAGTGTAGTTGAATTTACATCTTTTTTTCCTTCAAAGCTTCTTGGGGTCGGGAATGGTGGCTCATGCCTGAAATCCCAGTAATTTGGTAGGCTGAGGCAGGAAGATCACTTGAGCCCTGGAGTTCAAGACTTGCCTGGGCAAAGTAGGGAAACCCTGTCTCTACAAAATTAAAAATTAAAAAAAAAAAAAAAAAAAGCCGGGCATGGTGGTGCCCACCTGAAGTGTAGTCGCTGCTACTCAGGAGGCTGAGTTGGGTGAATAGCTTGAGCCCAAAAGGCCGAGGCTGCAGTGAGCAATGATCGCACCATCGCACTCCAGCCTGGAGACAGAGAAAGACCCCATCTCAAAAACAAACAAACAAACAAAAAACTTCTTGGCTTTTGTCATGCTTAGAAACCCCTCACCTGCTTTTTTTTTTTTTTTTTTTTTTTTTTTTTTTTTTTTTTTTTTTGCTTCTTGTTGTTGTCCTTGCTGTTGCAGTTAAGAGATAGTCTCTCTGTAACCCAGGCTGGAGTGCAGCGGTGTGATCATAACTCGCTGTAGCCTCGAACTCCTGGGCTCAAGCAATCCTCCTGCCTCAGTCTTCAGAGTAGCTGGAACTATAGGCATGCACCACCATAACCGCCTAATCTTTTAATTTAAAAAAAAAATTTTTTTTTTTTTGAGATGGGGTTTTTACTGTGTTACCCAGGCTGGAGTGCAGTGGCATGATCTTGGCTCACGGAAACCTCTGCCTCCTGGGTTCAAGCAATTATCCTGCCTCAGCCTCCCAAGTAGCTGGGATTGCAGGCACCTGCCACCACTCCTGGCAAATGTTTGTATTTTTATTAGAAACGAAGTTTCACCATGTTGGCCATGCTGGTCTCGAACTCTTAACCTCAGGTGATCCACCCTCCTGGGCCTCCTAAAGTGCTAGGATTACAGGCGTGAGCCACCATGCCTGGCTGTGATCTACTTTTAATTTGTACTAGTGTAACTCCTTCATGCAATAAACTGAAAAGAGTCATGTTGTCTGTCAGGCCTCTGAGCCCAAGCTAAGTCATCATAACCCCTGTGACCTGCACGTGTACATCCAGATGGCCTGAAGCAACTGAAGAATCACAAAGGAAGTGTAAATGGCCTATTCCTGCCTTAACTTGTGAACCTTACCTTGTGAAATTCCTTCTCCTGGCTCATCCTGTCTCAAAAGCTCCCCTACAGGCCCGGCGCGGTGGCTCACGCCTGTAATCCCAGCACTTTGGGAGGCCGAGGCGGGCGGATCACGAGGTCAGGAGATCGAGACCATCCTGGCCAACACGGTGAAACCCCGTCTCTACTAAAAATACAAAAAAGTAGCCGGGCGTGGTGGTAGGCGCCTATAGTCCCAGCTACTCGGGAGGCTGAGGCAGGAGAATGGCGTGAACTCGGGACGCGGAGCTTGCAGTGAGCCGAGATTGCGCCACTGCACTCCAGCCTGGGCGACAGAGCGAGACTCCGTCTCAAAAAAAAAAAAAAAAAAAAAAAAAGCTCCCCCTACTGAGTACCTTGTGTCCCCGGCCCCTGCCCGCCAGCGAACAACCCCCTTTGACTGTAATTTTCCACTACCTACCCAAATCCCATAAAACGGCCCCACCCCTATCTCCCTTCGCTGACTCTCTTTTCGGACTCAGCCCGCCAGCACCCAGGTGATTAAAAAGCTTTATTGCTCTATTGCTCGCACAAAGCCTGTTAGGTGGTCTCTTCACACGGACGCGCGTGAAATTGTCTATTCTTGAAGTTCCTCATTTAAACAGAGGTCAAGGAGTAGGCAACTGGTAGTATCAAGCCTGAAACAAAGCAATAACGTGATGTTTCACCCAAGCCCAGAGTCCTAAGATCACAGACGACTAGGCTGTGTCTGGCCGGAAGCTCCTCAGCTCCTTCTCTGCAGTTCCCTGCCCTAAGAGAATGTCACCACCTGCTGAGAGCAACAGCAGCAGTACCACTAGAGGGAGCCTTTGGTGGTAAAAGAAAGATCCCCTGATGTCTCCAACCTAACCCTTTGGTGAGGTGACAGGATATCTGGCTTGCCACAAAGATTTTTTATTTATTTATTTTTATTTATTTATTTGTTTTGAGACGGAGTCTCGCTCTGTCGCCCAGGCTGACTGCAGTGGCACGATCTCGGCTCACTGCAAGCTCCGCCTCCCGGGTTGCCGCCATTCTCCTGCCTCAGCCTCCCGAGTAGCTGGGACTACAGGTGCCGGCCACCACGGCCCGCAATTTTTTTTGTATTTTTAGTAGAGCCGGGTTTCACTGTGTTAGCCAGGATGGTCTCGAGCTCCTGACCTCGTGATCCGCCCGCCTCGGCCTCCCAAAGTGCTGGGATTCCAGGCGTGAGCCACTGCGCCCGGCCCACAAAGATCTTTTTGACCAGACATATCCTAGCTAAGGGATGTCCAAACAACGGAATGTGAGGCCAACCTCCCATCAGACTTAAACTTTTGACAGGAGAACAAACCTCAAACTGATGAAATCAGTCATGTAGCTAGCTAGCTATAGAGCTTTCAACTTAAATTAGCAGCAGTAACAAACTGGTTTTGTGGGGTTTTTTTCCCTTTGATTTTAATGTTGTGTGTTATTTGCTTGTTTGTTCATTTATTTATTTCTAGACGAGGTCTCGCTATGTGGCTCGGGCTGGTCTGAAACTCCTGGGTTCAAATGAGCCTCCCACCTCAGCACTCCAAAGTGCTGGGGTTCCAGGTGAGAGTCACCACCCCCAGCCATAATGTATTTAAAC